AGTCGACATGAGCTTAAATGGACTCCAGAGGATGGTAGAGGACAGGAAGGCCTGGAGGAACGTTGTCCATGGGGTCGCGATGGGTCGGACACAACTTCGCAACTAACAACAACAACAAAATTCAACATTCGTGTTAAGGATGCTTTTTTTGAATCTGAGGTGAGAAATTCTTTCCTATTTCCACCAGTTGTGCTCTTTGTTAACAACATGACCCTAATTCTCCCCTGTGCAGAGGGGACAAAGGTGCCTTTTAATAAGTTTGGGAACATGCTATAAATCTTAACAATTGTTCATTAACAACTCTTGAGAGTTGCTAATGCAAAGTTGTCACATTTAGCAATTAGCAGTCATTTTGCACGTATCTGTCCATTTGTACCCAGCTGTAAAATGAAACAAGCTCATTTCCTAGCTGTACGAGGGTGATGTTTCCAGCAGGTGGAAGAAGGATCTTTATTCAAACTAAAAGCTAAGCAATTTTGTCCCATATCAAATTCAAGGGATGCGAAGATGGAAAGTGAGTCCCCATTCATTCTGAAGGTCCCAAAAAATCGGACATGCTGTGGGGCTGATAGATAAAGAGAACCACAAGATTCATACTTAGAACCCCTCTGTAAAGCCGCACTGTCAAACAAATCACAAAATAGCTAACTAGATTTTAGCTGATAAGGTTGCTCCAGACTAGGGGTCAGCAACCTGCGGCTCTGGAGCCGCATGTGGCTCTTTCATCCCTCTGCTGTGGCTCCCTGTTGTTGGTCGACTCCACAATTGATAGGGCTTTCAGTTAGGACAGGTAGAGCAAAAAGGTTGCCGTGCTAGGAGGAGACCCCATGGTGGGGGAACTGTACTTCCGGTCAGCTCCAGAATTGAATGGGGGCTTCCGGTTAGGACCTTTGTGGCTCTTTGAGTGTTTAAGGTTGCCGACCCCTGCCCCAGACCATGTGGGCTACAATTCACAATGTGGCACACCTAGAAAACAGAGTAACTCAGGATAAGACGCTATGCAAATACAGGCAGGAAAAAGTTACTGAACTGATCACAAAAGGAAAACAGCCAGCTTAACATTCCAGAAACTTCAGATGGATGTAGAGAGAGCTTTAAATAACCCGATCACAAATCACAAAGGGCATAAAAAGATCAGTAACTCTGCTCTGAACTGGCTTAAGCAGAATTAAGAGTATTACGGTGCACAGAGTTAATTACCACTAGTAACATCCGGGCATTCTCAACCAGGTAAAAGTTATTTGGGGCTCAGAAGCAGTGTTGTTTGTATTCAGCACACAAAATAACAAAAAGTAGTATTTGTTGCAAAATACATGTAGTCAATGGGTTTGGCCTTCATTTCCCCTCCACCACCACCACCCCAAACGTGGCTTCAATCTGACAACTGGGAGATAAAGGAGAATGTAATCCAAGCTCGCAAAAGTATTCAGTTGTTTTGCAGTACAGATTACTTCTGGGATCTTAAACAGGATGAATGGTTGTAGGGGTTGAAAAGAAAACAGATAAAGGAAACGAGGAGGAGGAGGAGAAAAATGAAGTATTTTTAGCCTGCGGGTGTTAATTATTATCAGCAATATGTGTATTTATTATTTCTACAGAAAATTACACCAAGTTGTATCTTCTTATCTAATCCAAACCCTCAAAACCTTGGGCACTTTTCCTCTCCTTTCTATCAACCCTAATGCTAATTTGTCTGCCAGAAATGAGCTAGGTGAGACAGATTTTAATTACAAGGCCAGCAGATTAGTGATTTTACTATTTGGAGGAAAACAGCATGATGTTTATTGAGTTGCAATAATACAATCTGTACATTATTATTATTATTATTATTATTATTATTATTATTATTATTATTATCTTTATTCATTAAATATGAAACTCAGTCAACTGAACATTCAAAAATGCATCACAAATACCATTGACTGGTGCTAATGGTTGATAGGGGTTGCTGCCAGCGTCCTAGGGATTAACCAAGTACCTTCTTAAAATGTACAATATCCCAAGTAGCGCAGTTTTTTGCAGTTCCGCTGGTGTTATTGCAGGAAGCTGCAATTTGTTGATGTATCTTATAACATTCTTGGACATGGTACCAAGTGTCCCGATGACAATGGGGTATCACTGTGACATGTTTCATCCATAGCCGTGTAGTTTCGATGGCCAGGTCGCGATATTTCGTGATTTTTTTCCCAGTTCTTTTTCTTCGACTCTGGCGTCTTCTGGTACCGCGATGTCAATAAATTGCACGTTTCGGTTTTCGACAACTGTGATATCTGGTGTGTTGTGTTCCAAGTGACAATCCGTCTATGTTCGAAAGTCCCACAAGATCTTCACCTTCTCATTTTCTATAACTTTTTCCACTTTATGTTCCCATAACTTTTTGGATACAGGTAAGTCGTATTTTTTACATAATGACCAGTGGACTAATTTAGCAACTCGGTCGTGTTTAGCTTTGTAATCATCATCATTATTATTATTATCATTATTGTTGTTGTTGTTGTTGTTGTTGTTGTTATTTTATTCAGAGCTTATTCTTTCTAAGATTGATGATCTTTTTTTTTTAAACAACGGTTTTATGTGCCAATGAGGAAACATTGTTCTTTGGAAGGCAGCTTATGAAACCCTCCGAGAAATTTGCATTCCAAGAAGCTTTGAGAGGAAAGAAGGGAAGTCTGCCTGTAGCCAATGTCCAAAAGAGACAGATACACAAACCGCAATCTCTGGAATTTCTGCAATCCGAATCAGACGAGATGATTTATGAGGCCGATATTACTGCTAACACATGCAGAATCCATTAGATGGCTATTCGAACAGATGGGGAAGGTAAAAGCCACATGCAGCTAAGTGTAATGCTTGCCATTAGGAACAGCATTGTGGTGCCAAGGCACGGTTTTTTGTGTGTGTGTTTTTTTTTTCAGATTGTGTTTTCTTTGTTATCACCCACTGATACACGTTACTAGCCAGGAGAAAGCATGACAAATCACCGCAATTTCTCCACTTTGAAAAAGAACACGTCTGAAGAAGAGAGAGAAAGAGAGAGAAAATGCAAAACAGTGGTAAATGGATAATGGCCTTCAGGAGGACTCTCAAGTTCCACGGACAAGTCAGCAAAGGAATGTGGAAACAGATGGATTGACTGGCGCAACTCACAATCCATGGTTTTTTTGTGCTGCCAGAGAACTACAGCTGGAGGTTGAGATATTTGCGGCTCTTGAGACCATCTATGACTCAGCTCACTCATACCGAGCTGATTTACTCAGAACATTTCCATGTCATTTTAATTCCCCTTCAGCAGTTGCAACACTAACTCACATTTAAGCTTTTGCTCATCTGTCTGGATGGTTCCGATTTTCAGGACCACCCTGAAAGTTGCTTGATTTTTAGAGGTGGTTGTTTATTAAGGCCAGATTCCTAACAGCCGACTTAGTGGACAGAAAAAGAAAACAAGTCTGCTTGCTCAGATTTTAACACTGTCTACCCACAACAGGTCTGGAGCTTGGTGGACATGTGTTTGTAGAGCGACATATGCCAATTCGAATCAGCAACTTGATTTAACTTCTTGTGCACGTGATCTTTGACACAGCGCAAGCTGCATAATGGATGCTGTTTTCGATGGGTAAACATCAGGTTCTGACAGGTTCTGGAGAACCGGTAGCGGAAATTTTGGGTAGTTTGGAGAACCGGCAAATACCACCTCTGACTGGCCCCAGAGTGGGGAGGGAATGGGGATTTTGCAATATCCTTCCCCTGGAATGGGGATTTTGCAGTATCCTTCCCCAGGAGTGGGGTGGGAATGGGGATTTTGCAGTATCCTTCCCCAGGAGTGGGGTGGGAATGGAAATTTTGCAATATCCTTCCCCTGGAATAGGGAGGGAATGGGGATTTTGTAGTATCCTTCCCCTGGAGTGAGAAGGGCATGGAGATTTTGCAATATCCTTCCCCTGGAGTGAGGAGAGAATGGGGATTTTTGCAATATCTTTCCCCTAGAGTGGGGTGGGAATGGAGATTTTGCAGTATCCTTCCCCTGCCATGCCCACCAAGCCACGCCCACCAAGCCACACCACGCCCACCAAGCCACACCACACCCACCAAATCACGCCCACAGAACCGATAGTAAAAAAAATTGAATTCCACCACTAGTAAACGTGTCACAAAAACCCCAGAAACAGGCTGACATTTAAAACATGGATTCTTTTGTTCACTTGCTCAGCTTCATTGCAGGATGGTCATATTTAACTTTACTAGCAGTATTGTAGTTTTGTGTGGCCGCTTCAGACTTCAGGTCTGTGTTGAAGTCGCTCTGAGAGTGACCCTCTTAATGTTTATCTCCCAGGTATTCCTTTTTCCAGTTTGAGAAATAATGTCAGCCATGGTGTTGAAGGCATCTGTCTTCAGCTGAAATAACCCTGACCCTGTCAAGCGTTTATGCTGGTAAATAGAATTACATAACTGCTACTGTGATGTCCAGTCAGTGTCCTTTCCAGCAATAAAGGCAGGATCACAACAAATCTACATGCTAAATGTAAATTAGAAAATTCTTTGCGTACTTCCTCTAAACTAGTTAAGCTCTATTTTTCCCTTCCTGTTTTTCCTCTGAGTTACAAGCATAGTAGCTATGGGCAGGTTGCAGATACAGGTAGTCCTGTTGTTTAGGGACCAGTGGAAGTTACAAGAGCACTGAAAAAAGTGACAGTTTTTCACACTTGTGACATCTGCAGCACCCCCCCCCATGTGGTCATGTGATCGCATTTTGCGACTTTCTGACAAAGCAAAGTCAATGGGGAAGTCAGATTCACTTTACAACCATGTTACTAACTTAACAAGTGGGCAGTGATTCACTTAACAACTTTGGCAAGAAAGTTTATAAAACGGGACAGGATTCACTTCACAACTCTCTCACTTAGCAACAGAAAATTTAAGTCAAATCATCATTTTTCCTGCGGACATGCTTCCAATGAAGACACTTTCATAATTTCTCTTATGATGAAAAACATACTCCTTACCTTCTATTGTTAGAAGCTCCATTTATGCTTTCTTCATTTTTTTGTGCCATCTGTAGGTATTGTAGGAAGTTAGCACCCACCCGTCTCCTAGAAAAATGAAAGATTTTAGGAGATATTAAAAGGGCAGAATATTTCCCCTTAAAAGGGAGGTAGAAATTCAGTCTCCCCCCCCCTTTTTTTTTTGTCAATGGGCCATTAAGGCCTGGGCCAGTCTATTCTACATAACAAAAATCTACCTCCTTCAGGCAGAGCCATAATAGGAATCCCAAAGCCCTTTCATTACATCATCACCTAGCAAAAGTCAACCAAGCTTGGGACTCAAAAACACAACCTACCCTGTTTCCCCCAAAATAAGACATCCCCTGATAATAAGCCCAATCGGACTTCTTCTGAGCGCATGGCAAGGCCAAGCGCTTATTTCAGGGTTCAAAAAAAAATAAGACAGGGTCTTATTTTTGGGGAAACACGGTATCTATCATATCTATCTTACCTATCTTATCTGTCTCTCTATCTTCTATCTATCTATATCTCTATCTACCTACCTACCTACCTACCTACCCTGTTTCCCCCAAAATAAGACCTCCCCTGATAATAAGTCCAATTGGACTTTTGAGTGCATGGCAATAAGGCCATGCTTATTTCAGGGTTCAAAAAAATATAACACAGGATCTTTTTTTGGGGGAAACACATGGTTACCCCTGCATAGTCCCATGGGAGTCTGACAACCAATCAGAATACAAGCTAAAATTCAAAAGCCCAGAGAGGACATAAAACACAGGCACTCTCAGCATCTCTGCCCATTTTTGCTCGGGATCTCAAACCATGTAGTCCTGCTGTCCACCATTAAAACCATATTTCCAAATAGCCACCATGTTTCCAGTATCTTTCTCCCCACTTGGAACTGAACCCAGAAGGACATTCCAACAATATAAAATTGCTTTTCTTTCTACCTTGACAAGAAAGAAAAATGATTGTTTATACAGGCAAAAGGGCATGGCTGGAATCTATCACTCATCTTTTTGAGTTTTACAATCTTTAAACAGAAGCGTTTTTCCCAGGACTTCTCCCCCTCCCCCACCCTTCAACATCAGACACACACACACACAAGTTAGGCATACAAGCGATATGCTTGTTATTACTATAAATGTATATTTTAATTTTAAAAAAACACTTTTTTTTTTAATTTTTGCAAGCTTTCTAAAGACTCATTCGCCCACATGCCGCATATGGTTCCATAAACACACACTGTTTGTACAATGATTCAGTTTTCTGCAACGCTATCGCAAAATATTCTAAAGAACTATTTACAATTTAGGCAAACATAACTGTTCCTCATCATGATCGTGTATGACTGTACACTGGGAAAAGCCTCCAGATGTTTGACTCCCAGTTAAAAGCTGGAATTTTTTTTTTAAATGATTTTTTTTTTTAAATGAATTTCTGGTGCCCCCAAGTGGTTGAGGAATAACATCCCCAATTTAAAGGGATCTACTGTGGGGGAAAAAAAAAATCCTGTGAGTTAGAAGTGAAAGAAAAGCTTGCTTTTGTTTTCACAGCTGTCATTTAAGGCCATGGAGCAATTATATTCTGATGTCAACTTTTCCTTCTATGCTTTCTTTCTCCTCTTATGGCGCCTAGATTTGACTCAATCTTTTTCTCTAGCCTTATACAAGGAAGTGCTTTTCAGCTATAAAAATCAAACTTAAAATCTTAGCAATCTTTACTATTCCCCGTGGTTTACCTACTGAAGTTAAGAGCTATGGTTTTTTAAAAAATGGGAAGAGGCAGGTTGTTTTTTAATTCATAAAAGCAACTTTTCAGTATCTTGTTAATTTATCATGTAGTATGTTAATTGCAATGTGTTTTTTTTTTTAAATTGAACATTCCTAAAGCATATGGTCTCCAAAGGTTTTATTTCTTACTCTTACTAATGTTCTCAAAATATTCTTTTCCCTCTGGCAATGTTACTATCTATGTAGATCAGGAGTCAGCAACCTGCAGCTCTGGAGCCAAATATGGCTCTTTCACCCCCTCTGCTGCAGTTCCGTCACTCAAAATATGTGTCAAAACCGCCAATGTGCGACACCCCCCCTCCCCGTGATTTATTGAACTTTTCAGCCCCCGGTAGGCCAACCATGGCTCCTGGTATTTTCTTTTCTGTGGGAAAGCTCAGCTCCAGCATGCATGTGTGCGCCGGCTAGCTGATTTTTGAGCCTTTTGGTCCCACCGGAAGTTGGGAAATGGGCTGTTTCCGGCCTCCAGAGGGCCTCTGGGGGGTGGGGAAGGCCGTTTTAGCCCTCCCCAGGCTCCTAGAAAGCGTCTGGAGCCTGGGGAGGATGAAAAACAGGCCTACCGAGCCCACCAGGCCATCACATGCTAAAAGCGGGGGGGGCACACACATGCACAGAGGCGAGGCGCATTGTATTATGGGTGTGGGCACACACGTGGGCGACCTCCCCGTGCTCCTCCCGCTTTTGGCACACGACGGCAAAAAGGTTAGCCATCGCTGGCCTAGGATGTGAGAAGAATCAAGCTGCCAGGCTTAATTTCTCATTCAATGAACCTAGTGAGAAAACAAACTGGGTTGAACAAACCAAGAAAAGAAACAGGGGAAAACACGCCCTAGCACCATAATCCTACGCTTGTTTACTTAGAAATAAATTATGCTATAAATTTGCATGCTGTCTGCAGGATCAGAAAAGTAAATATTGTTATTGTCGCTTCCGCTGTTGCTATTCTAATGAACAAACAGAGCAGCCATTGTAATGATGATATAAATCTTACACCTGGGTCCGATATATGGGTTTGGCACATTGTGATCAAGGATTAATAGAGTAATAACAGTTGTCATTATCATTAGGAAGAGGAATAAATGAGAGAACTGGCAGCAGTAAAAGCTACACATTAACTTGAAAGTTAATTCCACTATGTTTTTGCATGAGTCATTATTATTAAAAAAAAAAAACTGTTGCTGCAGATGTAGAAAAAATTTGTACAGCCAAAGTTTATTTCAAATAAAACTCTCAGTACAGATTTAAGGATGGCCTAAATTATTACTATAATTATTAATATAATTTTTTTAAGCATGAGTAGACTAACCTTTAATGCCAGAGCTGCAAAATCAAAATGATTTGCAGCTCTGCTCATTATATATAAAATGACATTTTATGGCCTTTAGTCTTGTTTGCATTTTTGTTTCTATTGACATTTTGTTCGGTTTTACTTTTAAGGGGCCAAATGTGGAAGAGTACAAATTTCGAAATTTAGTCTGGGGTTTTGTGTCTTTTTTTATTTTTGTTATTTTTATTGTACCCGGAAGTCACCAAGAACCTATTGGATAGTGGTGGGGTAAAAAGATAAACAATATAATCATATAAAATCAAAGATGAAATGATTGTTTAGCTCCTTCTGAACAGTATTTCCATGTTTGTCTTTTTGTTTTAACCCAGAAAAAGTTAGACTACAACAGGGTAAAAGTCTAATAAATTCATAACATTGTATCATACCATATATCACACCATAACCGTACAATACAATATTAAAATAAGATAAGATAACATAAGATAAATATAATAGTATTGTATTGTATCAATACAATATTAATATAATATAAATATAATAGTATTGTATATCATAAAATATAAATATATACAATACTGTATCATATATCAAAAAATATCTATACTATACTGTATAATATAAACAAATAATATATAAAATAAATATTTAATGTCATATATATATTTATAACATAAAGAGCATAGTATTTTTACTTTATACTGTGTATACTATTGTAGTACTATATATTATAACTAATTTGTATTGTACATATTACATTATATATTAGTTATTTTTCATTCTATCATATACAACATACTAAACTCTAACATAATGTAAACTAAACACTATATATATTATATAATATAATATATATATTATATATATAAGAATAGTGTGTATATATATATACACACACTAGTGTATATATGCATATATAATGCATATATAATATATATATGCATATATAATGCATATGTAATATGTATATGCATATATAATGCATATATATAATGCATATAATATATATATATATATAATAATGCATATATCTATATATGTAGATATATAATATATATATCTATATATAATATAGATATATAATGCTATAATAGATGCAATATAAAATGAAATAAAAATGCTGTTCTATCATGTACAATTAATAGAATACAATATATTATATATATATTTTATATATATATATATATATACCATAGTAAAGAGGGAGAAAAGGCTGAGGTAATTTCACCCCCCTACACACACACACACTCCAAGAAGCCCCGCCCACCCGCGCGCTCAGCGCCCTCAGCAGGCCCCGCCCCGTCCTCCCCCCACCCCACGCGTGCGCGTGCGCCCTTTTTTTCCCGCCAGCGGAGCTTGGAGGAGGGGGGGCGTGGCCTGGCGGAGGGAATGGCAGGGCTCTCTGTGCGCGGCGGCGGGAAGCTGAGCCTGAAGCGGCGGCGGGAGGACCGCGGGGGCGCCCTGGGGTGAGGCGGCGCCTGGGCTGGCGCGGGAGGGGAGGGGGGAGGGGAGGGGCGTCCTGTGTTTAAAAATATTTTATTTTATCTTGTATTTTGCTTTTGCAAGTAACTCAAAGCAACCATCCAACCCTGATCCTCCTCTCTTCCCTTCCTCCTTTTTTCCCCCCATAACAACAACCCTGCGAGGTGGGCAGCTGCTTTCAAGGCTTGCTTACCCCCCCCGCCTTTCCCTCTCCTCCCTTCCCCTTGTTATTTCTTCCCTCCTTTCTCCTCCTGCTCCTTTCTTTCTTTCTTTCTTTCTTGTCTGTTTTCCTTTCACACACTTGCTATTTTCTCTTTTTTTTTTCTCCATTTTCTCTTTCACTGTATTCCTTTCTCCTTTATTTTCTTTCCTTCCTTCCTTCCTTTTACCTTCCTTCCTCTTCCAGCCTTTCTCCTTCCTCTTTCGCCTTTCCTCCCCTCATTTTTTCCTTTTTTTTCCTTCCCTTCTTTCCTTTCCTTTCTTCTTTCTTTTCCTTTTTTCTTCCTTTTCTTTCTCTTTTGCCTTTCCTCTTCCTCCTTCCATTCTTC